CAACACGTGACCATGGTAAGAAAAGGTCTTCCCCGCCTGTCTTTTAAAAAACTGGCTGAATTTTTGCGTCTGAGGTCAGTTTGAAATCAAAATCGTAATAGTGCGGTGCGATACTGACATAAACACAACATATTCCATATGAATGTTTAAAAAAAAGTAAACGTGAGCCTGCGATCATTTGAAAACGAGTAAATTGTCAGCGGATAACTTCAAAAAATACTCGACCTCGATGGGCCGACACCTGAGCCCGCGATACGGCCAGGTGATACTGGTCAGCGGATACCCTGTTTTGACAGCTGTCAATTGATGACAACATTGATGTGCAATCAGCTTTCTCCTGGGCTCCCAAAGTAGCTAGAAAGTGTGAGAGTAAACATTGGTGTGCCTGTGGTGCGGACGGACGGTCGGTCGGTCGGTCGGTCGGTCGGTCGGTCACGTGATTACCAAATTTTCCGGGATGGGTAGATTTATTTACCCATGGTGCTCCGCAGGCGCGCTTCGCGCGCGGAGCTCCGCTAATACAACAACTGCTGCTAGAGGCACTAAGGTCGATGACTCTAAACTTATGAAGAGTGGGCTGTGATAAAAGGCTATGAATATACGTGTACAGTTGTCGCGAAAAAAAAAAACTTCTGCAAATAAGAGCGGCTGAAAAAAATGGAAGAAATTGCTCAGCCTCTACTCTTCCTCCGCCTCTCCAAATAAAATGCTCCTTTCCTAATAAAGTAGCCATAGCCTAAGATTGGTCTATATTTTTTGTACTGATTGCCTTTTCTTTTTTCAATCAGTTAACAACGAAATCAAAAGACATACCTCACAGATGCCAAGATTGACACGCATTTGACACGGCACCTGATCTTTCAATCAGCTCGTTTAGGAAACTCATATTGTTTACCTTTTCAATTCAATGTTTGTCTGAATCTTAGTCCGTTTTCTTTCCAGCAATTTCTATATATAAAATACACCCCAGGTCTCAAAAAATTTCTATCAAGTAAATTGAATTTCAAAAATATATATATTTTGATACAAGACTCCTTACTTTCCTCCGCATTGTTGACATTTATGGAAACGGCGGTTTGACCTGTCAGAGCTGGTTCATTGGTCATTGGTTAATTTATACCAGAGTAATAAAAGACTCCATCAATCTTTCGATTTTACAAGTAAAAACCATTTTTGCCTGATCACCACGAAAAAATATGAGTCAAGACAATTTTTTGTAGCCTGAAATTCATCCGATTGCTTCCAGTCGTTTTCTCCTCTCAACAACGTTTGAATCGACCAGCCGTTAAAGCCGTCCAGTGACGTCACTCACTACCCGAAAACCGGGTAGTGATTTTGATTGGTTGATTGTCTAAACATTCGCATAATTATGTATAATTATGAAAAATTTTAGCGGGATTGTCATTTGATATTCAGCGGATCGCATCCCTGGCATTCTTTCTTTATCTTAAACAGCAAAATTGCTTTTGTCTTCGAAACTGAAATGTTAAATTGAACTGCGAATGAAGAATCATCGCGGAGAGTCGGTAGGTGAGTTTTCATTCAGAGCCGCTTTGTGGTTTCGGCGGCCGGTGATTTTGTTTACGCGAAGTTTTCTGAATTTTAATTCGACCTTCTTGCTATTTCACCGTCAAGTGTGATGATTCTGTTAGCTTTTCTTTCTTTTCTCCTTGTTTTTTTCTTCGTTAAGGACCAAATAGCTTCTTTTCAATTAAAGCAAATCATTTTGTTTTTGAACTAAGTGTTCCGTGTGTGTTTTTATCATGTTTTATTTCATTGCGTGATTGCGACCGAGTTTGATTATAGAATTTAGTACAAACGGTTCAGAGTTGTACCGCATGCAGTTGATTGTTTGAACGTTAAACATGAACTACAATCGAAAAAAATAAAGCAGTTCTGTATCTTGCAGACATTTCCAAACGATATTTCTCGGTTTGCCACTTGAAAATCGTGTTTTGCTTTTTGCATGAATTAAAGCAAAGGTCAAGGAGTAGTGACGTCACTGGACGGCATTAACGGCCGGTCGATTCAGACGTTACTGAGGGAGTAATAACGACTCGAAGTAATCGGATGAAATTCAGGCTAAATTTTTTGGAGTTTGTGTTACCCGCGGTTGCGTGACGGTTTTAACGTGCATTTTATGCAAAAACATCGAAAATGGACTGCGCGTTTACCTCACTCGGCGCGTTGCTTTTTAATTGCCCAAGCTGAATTTTTTATATGTTGTACTACAACAGTAGGGCTTTTCTGTGGTATAATAATTCTTCTAAAATTCCATGTACCAAGCCGTATTTTTTTCCTTCAAAGTTTTGCAAAATTTCATTGTTTATGAAAATGCTCAAGATAGGAATTCTCGGGCGTTTTTTAACCGTGTAAAAAAATTCATTATCTTGCAATATTTTTACCAAATAGTATTGTAACTGGAATGCCTTACTTACCTGCCAAAGATGAACTTGTTTTCTTGAACCGTCTTTCTTCCCAAGGGCTTTGAAAATGGTATAATTCAAAGGTTTAAGACCGGCGACTATATGGCGTGGGGCAGCATTTCACTTTTTGTCGGTTTTCTCTAAAAAGAAAATTCTTTGGAAACTTCGATTGTGATTTTCCAAAATGTTTCACCAAAGGGTTTTTTCTGTCTGAATATGAAGGATTTCGAAATTTCCGTTTTGTCGGCAAATTCTCGATATTTACAGACAGCCGCTCTTAAGGCGCCCTGGAGGCGGTATGTCGAACTTAGAGTGAATTAGGTGTACTGTTAACGGTAGCCCGTGGAGTAAACTGGATGGCGAAGGCAGAGGCCATTCATACGGACATTGTAAGACGTTTAGGGCAGGTACCAAGGCCAACAACCAAACCAGAAAATGATTCATTGCACGGTAACCGATTTACAGCCAGAGGGAGCGGTAACCAGATGTCCGTGGGATAACTGCAACTGATAATTGACTTAGGACACGTTAAAAGAACGAGATAAGTGTGTATGAGTGGCCCATTTGTCACGTTAAATTTTAAAGGAGGCAAATACTCGATCTGTAGAGAAAGCATTGCGATCTGGAATAACTGCTGCATCGTGAGTAAAACATTTGCTTCTAGAGAAGAACTTTGACGTTCAATGTCGATCATGGGGTTGAGAAATAATGGAAAACCATCAGCTAATGCTTTAGAAGTTTGTGCCATAAAGGCATCGACCGCCAATTGGGTATGAATTTGGTGTTGTAGAAAAAGGTGGAAGGTGGGGATAGCCGAATAAAGTTTTAGATTCAACAAGAGAAAATTAATGCAAAACATCCTCAATTTGCGCAACAAAGATACAAAAACGCAGTTTAGCGCGTTCGAGTGCTTGAGGAAAAAACCAAAACGGATTGAATCATGACACTGAGCCTGTTCAGCAAATTTTTTAAGGCGAGTTTACCATTTGGAGAAAGCTTGATCAACTAAACGCATATTATTAGAAATACGGTTGACCTTAGCGATGAGCGAATCAGTTACTTTAGCTATGTGGACGACCTTACCGTTAAGTACCCTAACGAGAGATTGGGATAGTAGCACACCACGAGAAAGTGTCGAGAAGGTTAGTCAAGTGACAGGATTCGCAAGAATGGCAAGTGGCGATGTAAATTTTCCTCAAAAGACCTTAAAGGCCAGCATGACAAAGACAACTGCTACGCCTGTGACGAGAATGACAATTTAAGAACATTTTCTCGTGTCTGAAAAGACCCTTACAGTTCTTAAGTGCCCAAGTATTTTGCATGGAAGGTAGGAGTGTGGGGCTTGGAGCACGTATTGTTAATGGTTAAAATAGGACCTATACTGGCATGTCCCAATAGAGTAGATAAGTGCATCAACCGTGTATCGGAGAAGAAAATAAAGGGTCCTAACATCATGGCTAATCACAAGCGAAGCTGGATAAAACGTTATTCCGTTTCCCTGTAGCGTCTAAATTGTCTTCCGTCTTTGAAAAGAAAGCAGATGGAGAGACGAGGAGGACTATTAGGGTCCGGGCCGAGAACACCGTGAAGCATGGCATCATCGTGCCGATTTCCCTGTGCTTGTTGAGCTTGCATGTGATTCTGCCAGAGATACTTTTGCTGGAATCGAATCCCCGGGTTCTCCACCAGAAATCTGTATGGGTATAGATTTTAGGAAATAAGACAAGCAGAACTTTGGCAGTTAAAGTCAGTTTAATCTCTTCTGTGTTGCAACTTTGACCAGAGCTAAATCTGAATATATCCTACAGTAGCTTACCGAGTGCTTCCATTTATACTGAAAAGATTAATTTAATTGAGTCTAAGCAAGATCAATAGCGTTCATATGCAGAAAATAGGTGTTTATAAGTGTTTGCAAACATTGGAACAAAAGAAACCGTAATAGAACTGTTTCCGGCTGCTACTACAAAAATTTTGCAAAACTAGTAATACCTTCCTGACCGAATTTCCTTACAAGAATTGAAATCGCTAGTCAGAAAATTAAAAGTACTAAATTTTCCCGAGATTCTATCGAAGCAAATTGTAGAGTTTAAGTTAGTAAAGCGAGTGAAATTCACTTCGAAGTGATCCAACTTACAAAAAAGAAATCAAAGGGTGTTAAGGCGTGTTGGCCTAACCAAGGTTTTTAGAGTCAGAAAAACTGATTATCACTAGAGTTTAAGCGTAGAAGTGCGAACAGCTATCGGCCTTGAATAAACGAGATTCGTTGGAGAAATTGATTCATTTTTCTTTTCACAGCTGAAAACACCTATTACGGAAAGCAATTTCCTTCGTAGTAATAAAGTAGCTTTCGCCAAAGAACCGATCCCTACCTAAGTGTTATTCTAGTTAATTGCAGATCTTAATTGTAGACAGTGGAAGAAACTAGCTTCCAAAGTTTCCAAGACTAAACCGAGCATTCAACTATTTTGTATATTTTTTAACCCCAATATTGAAAAGATGGCCATTTCCAAAGCCCCACATCAGAAACGAACCTATAGAGTCGATAGTTCGGCATCAGGATCATAAACCGGAGGTGTGACCAGCTGCCTTGTTCCCAATTTAGCGCGTGGTTTCCAAGCGATAATTGCTCTAATACGTCTTCTTAAAAAACGGCTTTGGAAACGGCCTAGTAGAATATAAATGCAACATTACGCAAATATAGATGTTTCCCACCACCTAGATTAAATATTTCCTTTAAATAAGGTACCTATAGTCGAGAACCGAAAAGAGGCGGTTTCGTTAAATCAAACAACTAAATTGTGTTAATTAGTGTCCAAACAACTTGCAACAAACCAATAAATATTGGAATTTAGGAGTTTAAAACTTGATAATGGCTCTTTCGTCAGTCCTTTCCGCGGTAGAAATACAATAATCGGTTAAATACAGTAAGCGATTATACTTAAGCAAGCAAGCAGAAATGGATAATGTAAGGTGATTGATTCACATGTGGCGGCGGTCAAAGGTACACATCACAATACCTTTAATTGTTTTTTCCTATTAACAGTACGATCTCAGTTGTTTCTATCATGGTTATTATTTAAGGTTGGAAAGGTCGGTTCCTTTGACAATCGCCTTACCAAAACTAATGGTTATCCATGGTAAATACTCCTAACTCTAATACTTATTATTTTTTTGAGTTTTGAATTTTAGTCTTTTTCTTTCATTTTAAGCCAGCGAAAGCGAATACATATAGCTAAGCAACAGCAATAAGACAAAAAAGATTAATTTTTAAACTACACCTTAAAAGAAGGGAATACCATGTGCAGGCACCTTACTTCCAATTTCTTCAAATTTTAATTCCTTCGAGTTTTTGACTTGAAGTTGCATCGGCACTTCCCTCGCGCTTCGCTCTGACAATTTTGTCATTATTCGTACAAAGTGGTCCTCAGCGGGACCATAGCTCTACCCAACAACTCGACGCCATTTTTGTGTTTTCTTTTGGAGAGCGCGTTGATAGAAAAAAACAGAAAGGAAACAAAAGTTTTAGAAAATGTCTACATATTATTCCCCCTCCTTTTAAGAGTCGCCTCCCGGCGATTACCAGGCCTCATGGTGGTAGCCTAAGACAAACGGAAGATATTTTTTGTGTATAGTTCAGTAATTAAAAAGACAAATAGTTTACTACAACTTGAGCTCGATCAATAAAGAGATACAATTTAGAAAGAATATGTATATTCCTCTACTTTAAATTAGCAGTCTGTTTTTTAATAGAATAATGTAGTTTTGTTTTGGTGCAGTACAATGAAGACAAAATAGTTCAAAGAACACCAAGAGTAGTAACCAACAAGTTCATAGTGTCCATGCCCTTCATGTTTATTTACATCATGTGCTACTAAAGGGGTTTTTCAAAGTAGCTCTATGAAGATACAAAAGCACAACAACCTTAAAAATGCTTTAATCAATGCTTCGTATTTTGGTTCAAATAGAGGACGCGGGGGAAGGTGGTGTGGGCCTCTCCTAAAATAGAGCAGCGCGCCACCTTATCTAATAGTTGGCAGCTAACAATTGGGAGAGTCATAGCTATTGACTTATTGTGTCTTCATTATACTGCACTAAAACTACATTATTCAAATTCAAAAAAGATTGCTAATATGGCGAAGAAAATTGTATGTCTTTATTGAACTGAATTTGTGGTTACTGAACTCTTTGTCTTTGCCGAACTATATACAAAACAGCCTTAAATTCTTTTGTGGAGGTTCTTCTGTGCATGTAAAACAATCAGAAAATGTTCAGTTACTTTGGTTTATCTGGCTAGCAATCTGACAATGGCACTCACATGTTATTAAGAAAAGAAATCGGTTTGCATATTAACGTTTTCTTAGGCTATTCTAACCCGGCATTACTGCTTCCGTATGTGAATTAGAACAGTCGCTTGACCGGAGCTGGACATAGCACCCTTCATTTTGAGTGGCGATTGGAGATTCCTTTCGTGCCAGCCGTTATTCCCTCTGAAGGGATCATCGTAATACATCTGCTCATAAAGACCGTGGTCGGCCCATATTTTCCCACTGTAAACCTGAGCATCAAACCAATTGCTGTACAAGTTGTAGTCAAATGGAATGGAGAACATGACAGCAAGTGTTTTGTGGATGTCACGGATGTAGTATGTAAATACTCCTACAACGCCTGTTGCAACGGGCCCCGAAGTTTTTCGTGCACCGTAAAGCAAGGCTTTACCTAGAAACAGGCAAAATATTTGCCAGTTAGACAAATATCATTAACATGATCATCCATCGCAAGTATACATGGCCACCGAGCACCACAGAATAGGGACAGGGGCATGTACAAGGAACACCCCGGCTCTTAGTACATGGGCAGAATAAGCCAATCTATGTTTACAAGGTTCTCAATTCAGAATATTGAAAGAACGTAAATCCGATATACCAGATATTACTATTTACCAAATCAGTAAATAGCAATTTTCGCGGGTTTTGATTGGCTCCCGTAACTCAGAATATCATTGGCTATTCACTGTTTTGCGACCGGAACCAAAATAGCGTCTCGTTTCGAGACATTTTCGGAAGACGAAAGTTGAGCTATAAATGAAGCAGTCGTACAAACAAATACCAAGACAGCGACGAACTTTGGCTTGTCGGTGTTTACTGGTAGGTATAGAAAATTATTCTCATACTGAACTTGCAACAAAATCATAAATGCACTTGACAAAACCCCCGAAATATTTGTAGATTGCAAAGAAAATTCCGAGTAAGTGACGTTTTTAATTTACCAAAAGTTACTTTTTTCATTTTTATTCAACTGATTTGGTAAATACTAAAACAACTATCCCTCTCAGGGTGGGTGAACAGCGCTAGATATATGGCTCGACGCTTCGCGTCTCGGTATATATACCCACTACTATTCACCTCACCTTTGGGGGGATAGTTGAAAAGTATTTGCATTATATATCCTACGTTACAAGGGAAGTTTTACGAAGAATGTGTGGGCTTACTAACTGGCACCCTTACATTTTTTGTTTTGTGATTCCTTATCTTTCAAATATCGCACGCAAAGGCCGGGTGATCATTTTGAACCTTAAACACTCAGAAAACTAAGTTAAATTGCTCTTTTAACCCTTGGCGTCACGTTGCCGTTTTCAGACTGAAAAAAATCTGCATATTGACGAAGCAAAACGTAAACCTGTTGTCAGCAAAATTTCAATAAAGGGCAAATCCTCTTATACAGTTTTTTCTTCCGGTAACGTAAGTGGTTGCTGATTTCGCCTGTGGTTTCATTTAGGAATAGGTCACTCGCACAATGAGCTTATTTTACTACTAATAAGACCAGAATCTTTCAGACTTTATTTTTTCTTAAACCTCGCAGGGATTAGAAAATGTTGATATGAAAGGAAAAACGAAATGGATTAGTAATAATTAAAAATGATCACACCTTCCATTTGGCCTCAGTGTTATTACTGAAAGAAAGCTTCAAAATTTTTACGTAATTGACATTAATTTTACCTGAAGGCACTTCCATAGGTAAAACGTCATCTGACGTCCCTGAAGAAAAGTAGACGTTGATTGCTTCCCATTCATATCCACTTTCGTTATCAACACCAATTGCGACCTTACGGTTGATGTTACCAAGGGTGTCTAAAATTGTGTTAAGAATTTCCAAGCCAAGTAAAGTACCTTCGATGATAACACCAGCAGCAATTTTAACTAAAAACAAGAAAAATATCAGAGTTTCACACTTACTTGTTTTAAAACAAATATTCACGGCTTAGCCGAAAGTTCTCATTTTTGCAGAATAATCTAACAACTGTGATGAATAGTTTAGTTTGGTCGACAAAACAGCCCGCCTCTGTGCAGTTACTTCTCAGTTTCTTTTTTCTTCTTTTCTTTTGTTTTAGCTGGCTACTGTACGAAACTTTAAGAAATGCATTTACCCGTCGAGTTTCCGCGCTTGTATTTCTCCTCTTCTTCTTTAAAAGCAGAGATTGAGGACGAGCCATGTCGCCTCTGAACCTGTAAAGAAAAATATGTCCACTAAGGTCATTTCATTGAATACAAACTGCCATGAGTTTTTTTTGTCAAATTTTTCTTCTCGCGTGTGTTTCAATACATTTAAGGCGCACAAGTGAAATCGAAAGGGCTAAAATTATTGCTGCAAGCCTGAGCGAAATCACCATGTACTGTTCTGTGTAATCATTCAGATTTACACTTCGCCAAACTGAACATTGTATTGGTCATTGGGAAACAAATCGCAAAGAACTCACTCAATCGATTTACAGCTTGAAATTATAAACATGTTAATTACACATTCAAACGTTGTGGTGTAAGACTACCTATAGTATCTACTCGCCGCACTACACGCGCACAATTGGCAAACTCTCGACAAGGGGACTCCGATGTGTCTTGGAAAAAAAGGGGCGCGAGTTTCGAGATTAGAAAGCTGAACGGGAGGCTGGAGTTTGGCCGGGATTTTTTATTGTCAATTCGGGATTATTTTGTTTGACTGAAACAACCGACATTCGATTGGAACATTGAGTTGCGTTTTCGTAGATATCACCCCTAAAAGAAACTTTCATGTTCGATACCAACATTGTCTTTAACGCCGATCGTTTCTTATTTCAAAGACAATATATTTATTTTACCTCAGTGCCTTTAGAAGACGATCCAAGACTCCTTTTGTCATGATCTTGCTTGAAGGGAGACCCAAAGATTGACTGAGTCATCAGCAGAATGGAAAACAGAAGGATAACCAGCCTGACAAAGCCCATTTTAAATTCTATTGGAGAAATAAAATGAAGGAAAAAAAAAATGCAATTTTGATGTCTCAGTACGATAATGTTTTTAAGTCAGCTGTTAAGTGTTTTTGTTTGTTTGTTTGTCTGTATGTACACGATGTTATCACCTGGGATTGTATCTCGTACGACAGGCTCAGTTCTCGTGGTTATTACTGATGATCAGGCACGACAAATATGTCAAAATAGCTACATTTTGAGGCGAGAGAGAGAGCCATAAATTTGCTGTCGTTCTTGTTATTTAAAACTTTAACCAAGGAAAAACAAGCAACTGTTGTTTTTTTAAATAGATTATCAATGTTGCCAATAGTTAATAGCTTTACCAATGCCGGTACTGAGCTGATATTTGAAAGCTGATTTACGTTTACCATGTTTCATTGCAAACGGCAAATTTGTCACCATGCAGCGCGACTAAGAATTTCTTTATTAGTTAGCTGACTCGTCTTTTTACTGTTAATTACTTCTACACAATCATAAGAGTTGTTTGGGACAGTTTGTATCTGCTCATTTTCTATTTCATAGTCTTGAGAAATTCTCAAGCTACATTTGCCGTTTGCCGTAAACGTGACACCAAATTCTCGCTATTGACATTTCAACAGTTTTAACTCTCCATTAAAATACTATTGAATCGAAAGACCAATGAAACTAGTACTGAAAATCAGTCCCGTGTAAAGTATCTACAAGTATCTATGGCGTGGTTGCCATTGTTGCCTATGGTTTCTTCTTCAATTTAAACTTCTTATAGGAAACTCTCTGGCTCATAACGACCTCAAACTTATAAGTTCAGTCCTCGAGAGCTCCTAGAGGTGGTAAGCAGCTTCGATAACTACATTTAGCGACAGAAAGGCCTGGGGCCCGTTTCTCGAAAGTGCCGATAATTAACGGGCCCGGTAAGCCGTCTCCGTTTATATTAAAGATCGAGGTTTCAAAAGTTTTGCACCTAGCATGATAGAACTATCAGTTAGTGAAACAAAATAGAGTAGTTTGCTAGCCAGGACCCGCGTTCTTATTCGTTATATTTCGATTTGAATATTTGATTTCGGGCCCGAAAAGTTACCGGGACTTTTGAGAAACGGGCCCCTGGCTTTTTAAAGAGGAGAATTGACCGAAAACACGTCATGCATTGCATGGAAAGGAAATATCTGTATTAGATGATCATTAATGGGTACTTTGTTGGGCGTTTTATGTACTCATATCATAATAAACTCCTTCCTAATACTTTTAACACCATCTTTATTACTAATCGCCAAGTACAAACAAATAATACTCGAGATGCTATTAACTACCGACCATATTTCTGTAGAACAAACATGAAACAGTTCACAATCCTCTATCTAGGACCTAAACTATGGGATTCTCTAGTTTCGATAGCGACTTCATCAAACGAATATCTTATCGAAAGAGCTATAACTATGAATTAAATTCGCCCGACCATGATATGGCAACTTACACTAAATCACAATTAAATACAGAGCCCAATTTCTACCTAAAAGCCTTCTGTACATAGCTCGTTCGATGCCAAAAATTGACGCCAAGAAATCATCCTATTCGGTGAGAATTGGTTATTTGCAGGGCAGGAAGAGCTGCAATAAAAGTTCAACATTAAATGTAGTAATATTATGTGGCTTAACTTTTGTAATAGATAAAGTGGCGGGAACACTCAGTAATTTTCAGGGAGTTATAATAAGTCCTGTAGTGGGATTAATTTAACTCCTTAAAGTGGAGTTTTTTTCAGAGTTATTTTAACTCCAAAAAGGAGTTTAAAGAACTCTTTTTCAGGAATAAAAACAACCCCAGATTTGGAGTTAATATTGAGGAGTTAAAGTAACCCCCAAAAAGGGGTTATCATGTACCTAAAAATTTTACTCCATTTAATTTTGGAGTTATAATAACTCTCTAAAAGTTACTGAGTGTTCCCGCCACTTTATCTATTACAAAAGTTAAGCCACATAATATTACTACATTTAATGTTGAACTTTTATAGCAGCTCTTCCTGCCCTGCAAATAAACAATTCGCACCGAATAGGATGATTTCTTGACGTCAATTTTTGGCATCGAACGAGCTATGTACAGAAGGCCTTTGATCGCGTTCGTTAGAACGCATCCTAATTTGGTGTTCCTGTGGCACTAAGGCTATCACGGGCGACTGCAAATTAGCCGCCCCTATTTATTTTGTCAGGGGCACCTCGGCAGGGAAACTGGGCTCCTTTCGACTCGATTTCGTTTCCGTAATTTTTCCGTAAGTGACAAACGCGGATCCGTAATCAATGATTACCTCTAGTTAAGTAATATATCATGAGCATGTTAAGTGTTTCCTTGGACGTAAGCCACGTAATGACGGCTTTGTAAAGTTTAGAGAAGTTTAATCTGACGATGCTTATGTCCTCTTTCATTTCTTTGGTATTTTGTTCTACTAAAAGGGGTTTTTGACTTTAATAACATGACCTGCTTAATGCGGACACTTTCTGTGTTCCCTTCTGAGTGTCCAAATATAACGGGGTTTGACTGTATTTAAATAGCTGAGAATGATGATCTATACTTAAATACGGCTGATGATACAACCATCTTAGCTAAGCTCCCTAGAGGTTTATCTGATCGATCTGACCTTGATTTGTCCAAATTTACGGACTGGACAGAAACAAATGGCATGCAGTGTAACACAAGTAAATGCAAGGATTACCTTTGCAAAGAAAATAAAAGGAAATCCAACAGCTTACCCAGTATCAAGCAGTATTTATATGTTATTCACCGGCTGGGAGGTCCGTATTGGGAGAAACTGTGGCCGAGGTCTTGAGTACCGCCGAGGGCGGTACTCAGACCGAGGGCACAGTTTCTCCCAATAAAGACCGACCTAGGCCGGTGAATAACATTTTTATTTTTTTCCTAATGAGAGTTAAAAGTTTCAGGAAAAATTTCCTTCACTCACCAACCTATGTGTGTTGAAATAGGACGCGTTCGTGTTGATGAATCGCGCGATCGATTGCAAACCAAAACAAAACAATACAACATGATTTTTAGCTCGGTAATTTATATTATGGCATTTACTGCTCTCTTTTAGAATAAAGAATGGTTTTTGTGTCTTGCTAGACAATTCATGATCTGAACGTCAAACAAGGATAAAAGAATTGACGAGCTCGATATTGAAATACTGTAAGCATTTTCTTCGACTTGATTAATTCAAAAATTGCTTTAAGATTAGTTCAATCGAGCGGGATGAAAACTACACAAAGGCTTTGTAAAAAGAGCTAATACACATGCCAATTTGAAGGTTTTGAATTAAATTTGAACAAAAGAAGGCGGCGATGTGAGTAACAAGTTTTAAATAAAGAGATGAAAACGGTGATAACCGACTGCTGGAAAAATGATTCGTGTTGTTTATTTAAGATTGAAAGCTAAATGGAATCATTGAAAACAACTTTTTCTGATAAGTAGAAAACTAGCGAGGCAAAATTCAGTGAAAAACAGCAGAATCTAGATTCTTACAGCAAAAATGGAAAACAAAACTTCAAACAGAGGAAAACTGTCCAATAAACGGTGCATAAAAGCAAGATTGCAGTACAGCGCTGTTATAAAGCTAGTGAAGCGACATCACGAGCCTCCTGTTTTGCTTTACTTTAACGGTTTTCCTCGCCGACTTGCTTGATTCTTCCTTCAGATTTTTTGTCTGAATAATAAAATTCACTGTTCCCAGCTAATGCTAATAAGAGTGCAAGTTTTAATAGACAAATGGTTTGAAAATGACTGTTTTTGCTCATTCACAGACAACAAACAAACTTGTGAATGACGCTGCCAACGATTCCCCCCGGGTTAGCGGGTAAGATCGTAAAATACCGCCCGCTCTCGGAACCAATTAGATTGCAGGATTTGGAGGATTCCGCCCGCTCGCAAGCTTGGAAAAAAATAAAATAGTATATCATTGCTGGGAGTTATAATACAAGTAAGTAAGTAAGTTTAGTTTGCATGTTAAAGCTTAACTTTTTACCGAGGTGGCCCTACTGGCTGGATCAACTGTAACATCTATAAGTTATTGGAAAAAAGTGACCGCCGCCTCTTTTTAATCTGAAACATTGCGACCATTCATTAAATAATCTCCTATGTTTTTTAACAAATTATTTTTAAATATAAGCTAGTTGCGCAAATATTAGATTTTAGAATGGTGATATGTATTCAGTTATTCAATGAATAAAGACATTGTATCACTGTTAATGTTTCCACGAATCAATGTGTGTGTAATTTAAAAGGATAAGAACGTGTGTAGTTTGAAGCTCCATATTGAAGTTGTTTCAAGAAAATAAATTTGGTTATTCCGAGTCTCCGGTAAACAGAAGAGGCTGCCAAACACACACGAGTCAGCACGGTGCTGTGTCTTTTATATTTGTTCGAGATCCAGCCGTGAGATATTTCCTAATTTCAAAAGACAGGTTGTATTCAGTTTCTCAAGCGAAAGCCCTTTTTACTTACGATCAAATCATCACGAAAAGAAAACAAGCAGATTTGACGAATAAATCTTATTAGAATTCAGAAAATTTCACAGAAAAAGATTATTTATCAACTGTAGAATAAAAACTGACACAAACTAAGGGCTTAACGTTCGTGAAGCTATCCTTACCTTGATTAACGGCTGCGACGGAGTGGTTTACTGTGCAAGTGAGTAATTTGGCAGTAAAAGTAGCCCCTTTTATAGCGGAAAATAGACGTAAACGTCACGCACGTGAAATTTCCCAAAACCCTATTGACAATTTAGTTCTCTTTGTTCTTTAACGTTCATTAGAAACCTTTTGGAAGAGGTCAAATTGATCGTGATCTAGTTCCACACACTTGAATTAAATAAATCGTATCTTATCTTTAAGGTATAATTTTAATGTCATTTTAGCATATTGTGTTTTCAATTTTTTCATGCGTGTCCTTAAATTAGACACTAAAACGGTTACCGAACTAGTGCTTTAGACCAATCTCTTAGTTTCTGCTTATCGGCA